TCTTTATTTTTGGCGTTTGTTTAGATTTACGTTAAGATCTGCAAGATCTGCAAGATCCTGCAATTTTTATTGGCTCCAAGCCTAATTTTTGTAGATCCTTAGCCCGGGATTTTCTTGACATAAGGGAATCCTAATTGAGCTGGCCCGATTCAGAGCACTGGTTGCTATTTTATATTTTTTAATAAAAAGTTTTTTATTAGAATTTTGATATAAGTAATTGTTAGAAAGATTTGCTTTGTTGGTAAAGAAGTTAAATTATTAATTTAAAATTATTAAATTATTAAATATAGTAATTTTATAGGTTTTGATTACCATTTTCGAACAAATTAAACATTACATCAATCAAATTTGAACATTATAGCAATAAAATTCAAACATCATAGTAATCAAATTTGGATATTAAAGCAATCAAATTCAAACATTATAGCAATCAAATTCAAACAACAATATTTTGCAATCTAGTAATCCAAATTACACAATCTTGGTGCTATTCAACTTATCTTAATAAGATGAGTTGAATAGTGTTAAAATTATATAATTTGGATCTCTAAATCATGAGATATTGCTATCTGAATTTGATTATTATGATGTTTAAATTTAAAAGCTATATTGTCTAAATTTGATTATTATAATATTCAAATTTGATAGTTATGATGTTTAAATTTAATTGCTTTGATATCTAAATTTGATTGCTATAATATTGAAAATGATTGTTATTATGTTTAAATTTGATTATTATTATTTCTAAATTTAATTGTTAATTTGTTTAAAATTGGTAGCCAAAGCCTATATTATTATATATAATAATTTAATAAAATATTTTAAACTTTTAAAATATGAACAAATTTATTTATAACAGCATATAATATTTGTAATATATTACTACATATTTATTATTAATTCAAATCACATAACTTTATATATAAATTCCAAATTTTATTAATTATAATAAAAAAAGCTAAATACAAATTAAAATCTCAAGATTTGGGTCACTACTATAAGATATACCACAGCACTATATACTTGAATTTGAAAATGTGATACAATCAGTCTTACTATATTTTCGCGAATAATGCCTGTATATTATTCGTGAAAATACAGTAACTAGAAAAGAATCAAATTAGAATTTAATAAAATTTTCATGACATAATTAGACAATCATCAGACCCAGAATTTTGGAGTGAATAGTAAATATAATAGCTATAATAGAATGTGAGTACATACATATGTACGTACGTACATATGGTAGCCGAATTCCCTATAGCATATACTTACCCAATTATGTTTTTAAAACTTAAATACAAACATCTTATCAATCCTATGTCGAATTTTCACATCTATTCTAATAAGCTATAACCTAGAATCGCTCAAGTTGCAGTCATATAGGTTAATCAATAACATAATACAGCGATAATACAACAACAATCACACATCAAAATAATCAAAATAACAATCACATATCAAACAACAATTACATATCAAATAACAACCACACATCAAACAATATCATATATCAAATAACAATTGGCAGATATTTCAGTAACCCCACTAACTTAAATTACATCAAATTAACTACCTTTTTTTTTAATATCTTGCACTATTGTGCCCAGTCTCACCATAGCTTCAACATGTATATTCACAAATAAAAAATAGAATCTATTACTACAATAAAGTGTCTTCTTTAAATATTACCTGGTCTTTTGTCGGTAATTTGCCAAATTTCCTTAATATTGGCTTGGTTAACTTGTGAAATCATTGATTTAAGAAATATTTGCTTTGAATCATAAATGTTTTCTATAAATCGGTCTTCTACACTCCTGTCTTTATCATCCAATTCAACTATTGTTAAGTCAGCCAATATTGCATCAAAATATAAACACTGAGCCATCTCAATATGTTCAATAAAAAGTATATGTGGGGTTAAGTATTCTGAAAGTATATGGTCTATAGTAGAAAATATTTCACTACTAACAGATACAATTCCAACGCATGATAACAGAGTTTGGTACTTGAAAAAATGGTTCTATTTGGTCTCTTTTTCTAATCGTGAATACAAGGTTTTTAACAGGTCATATAAACTATCATTGCTGTGTAATACTCTTTTGATAATGCTGTTGTATCTATTATAAGTAAGAACAAAACTTAATTGGATTTGAATTCTTAAACTTAAAAAACTTAGTAATAAAGAAACTTAAAATTTCGAGTAAGTAAACTCAAATTAACATGATCCTAACCCTAACTCAACTAAATTTAAATTTCATTCTAATTTACAATATACTCTTGTGGTTTGGACTCTAGCAGTAAAAATTTTAAATATAAAGGCGCAGGCCTATAAATGGTAACTAGGATAAAGAGCTCGTGTTAAATAACTTGAAGCAGATAGATACTTATCCAGTAAATTTTGCCATTTTGATTCAAATAATGTCTCATCCAAAGTATTACGACATCAGAAAAATTCTTTAATGAACAGATCATACATATTACCTAATGTTGCCTTTAAATTCTTTGGAAGATTTTGACTAATGTGATAAATGCAGTGTAAAGAATAAGTATTTTCATACTCATATTTCAGTGTATCATCCATCGCTGGGTCTGCATATGTGACAAAAACCAAAAGTTCAATGCCTGTAGCTTTCTTGGTATACTGGAAAATCTATTGGTAAGATTTCATTGTTTCATCAAAAATTAACGCCTGTGCCACCAAACGTGATTTAGTGTTATTATCAACAGTAAAGAATAAGCTAAGCGGCATTTGATATCAATTGTTCTTAGATGTATTATCATTAAGAATTACATTATAGTATTCAAGCTATAGAGATAATTGTTTAGGAGTCATCCAAAAAAGCTGGATAAGATGATTATCACTATCCAGTTCGAATTCAACGCACTAGCCTAATTCTCATTTCTCAATAAGAAATGATAAAAGATGCAAAGCATCTTCTGTAAAATCTTGAGATTTGGTTTTATAATGCTAAATAGCATTGGTAAGATCCATATCTAGAAAAGTTATATCTGGATATTTGGCTTTTAACAATCTATGCTGTATAGTAATCGAATCTGAATTTTGCACTATATTTACTACTCTCAGGGTGAAGTTCATGATTGTGGGTATTAATAAATATCATGACTGTAATACGAGTAGATTGCTTAAGAAGATTCAAGTTGATGTGCCATTCACATCCTTGATGTTTTGATTGCCGGTTATAATGAGTATTAATGTCAACATTCTTTTTAGGTACATACTTTTCTCCAAATTCACATCCATAAGATCAGTATCTAATTATACTATTACCATGTTGTTTGACTCTTTTTTTGATAATAGAAAATCTATTATATTAACTATAAGCTTTAAGAAAAGAGTCAATATCATTCCACGAACTGAATGTATATCCAACTTTTAACAAAAAAAAATCATATGATGACTCACTTGAAGATGTTTCTAAAAAGTCAAAATATGGGTTGGGATCCCGCGGCCTAGTGGTCTAGACACCCAACCCTCCACAAGCGGGTTTCGGGTTCAAGTCCTAGTAGGTATGTTTACCTACGAATATTTGGAAGTATCTGCCGTGGGAAGTCCAAGTGAATACAGGTCTGGAATAGGAATTTCCGGAAGGAGG